TATATATATATAATAGAGAGAGAGAGAGATCAATAGAGAGAGTGGGAGGGAGGAAGCGCATAACGTGTCGCAGAATCATTTCATCGCCGCGCACGGAGGGGGGAGGTAACAGAAGTGTGCATAGAGCGAGGTATCGTTCCGTGTAGACTCAAGAATAAGAGGGAGGAGGCTGTCGAAAGCGAACGAGGCGAAGAAAGAGGGCGCCACCACAGCCACAGCAGCCCCTGGGGTCCTCTTTCAGGTATAAAAAAACAGGTCAAGGGTCATATACGCCCTACGCGTAGTTACCCCGTTCTGTCTGTCCAATGGGCGCATGGTCATCTTTCCAGTCAGCCATCCGCATGTCACGCTGCCGCTGCCGTTCCTCCACGCCATCGGGACCGAGTTTTTCATCCTCTTCCTGCTGCTGTCGTTGCGCCTCTGCGCTCGCATCCATCCGCCGCTGCACGTCATCCATCTCCATATCTGCGAACTCCTGCAGCGTCATGGTAGGCGTGTTACGCTCAATCATAAGTTCATCTACAACCTGCTGGCGGAAGGCCTGCTGGTTGGCAATTGCGCTCATCGCCGTGCTGCTTAGCTGTGGGGTTCGGAACGGGCCGCCTGGTGCGATGAGACCGCCGGGGAGAATTGTATACGTGTGGCGGCCAAGCGACTTCTCGCCGCGGCGCACCGCCTCTATGGTGTTTTGGTGCTCTGTCGCAATCGCCTGACGCCTCTCGGGTGAGAGCGCTTGCAGCATCTCCAGCTCGCGCGAGGAGAGCTGTAGCTGGTGGCAGCCCTCGTAGACGGACCAGCGGAGGCGTGCAAGGGCGCGGCTACGCAGTGCCTCCTCGTCGTCGTCGTCGCCGGTGTCCGCCACATTGTCGTCGTCCGCCTCCATTAGCGCCTTCATGCGTTTGCGCTTCGCCAGCAGGTATTGCACGCGGTCCTCGCAGCGACGCTTTTCCTCCTCGAGCTCGCGCAGTTTGCGAGAGAGCTCGATGCGGTGGGTTCGCTGGTCCCCGCGGTAAGTCCGATACTTCTCCAGCGTGCGTTCGTCGACCAGCTCGTAGTCAAGCGCCCATTTGAAGTAGACATCGTACCAGCGGTGGGAGCGAGAGAGGGCCTCCTCGCGCGGCATCACACCCGTTACTTCCTGTGTCGTTGCTGGTGATGTTGTTGTGGCTTCAGGCGTTGGCAGCGGCCCCTGTACGCGCTGGTAGAGGTCTGCGATGAGGTACGGTGTCCACAGCAGCTCCAGTGAGCCCGTGGAGAGGTCGTCCAGCTGCTCGTTGGGGGAGAGAACGCCGATCGCTGCCATCTGGTGCCACAGCTGCTCGAATAGGGGGATGAGAGAAGTGGCGGCCCCGCTCGGCCCGCCGGGGTGGTTGCCATTCAGCACGCCGTCTTCGTACTTGCGCACAAGCTCGTTGAAGTGTCCCTTCACTGTCATGTTGCTGCTGCTAGGGTCAGTGGGCATCTTGTTGAACTGCGTTCCTAGGCACACGCCAGAGGGGCAGCGCAACACGAAACAAAAAGGGGGACGAAAACGAAGGGGAAAAAGGAAAGAAAAAAAAACACAAGTGCAGATGGCAGATCAAGCAGCACAGAGAGAGAGAGAGAGAGAAAACAAAAACAACGCAGAAATGGGTGCATGCAAAGGAAGAACGGCACAGAAGGAAAATGGAAAAAATGGAGACTGAATATAAATACGCATGCTCTTCAACGCGCTGCATGCGTGCGCGGCGTCGCTAATCTCCCGTGTAGCGTGGTCCTGGCGTGTGGACGCCACGCTTGAAGGCCTGCTGCATCATTGGGTGGTCGAGAAACACCTCATGGCGGAACTGCTGCAGCGGTGACTCCTCTTTGCGGCGGGGCAACTGTCGTTTCGTCTTCTCTTCTGCCGAAGCTTCCTCTTCTGCCTGTGCATCGGCTTCGATGTCGTCGTCGTCGATGCCTGTGCCGGGGCGCGCGCGCGGCCGCGTCTTACGCCAGCCGAGCACTTCGCCGGGTGTGTGATTGGG